TAGGGAAAACAAAGATATTTATGACCTACGTGAGTACGTGATCATCTTCTGTTTGAACCATCAGTTAAGATAATCATCCTTAGCTATCACTGAGTTTCAGTAATGTGCCATGAGCCATAGAGTAAGGAGTCCTCACCAGTAAGAGCCAATATTCTTAGGAAGTGGTCAGGCTTCAGTGATTGAGGCATTTCTTCTTGGCACTTAAGGTAGTGTCATTTTACATAAAAAGCTTTTACATAAAAAACAAAACCAGAGAGGTAAATTCTGGTGTTTGCAGAGTAGCAATCTCCTTTCTATTACATTCTCTTAATCTTGCCAAGAAAATTGATGGTAACATATCAACTTATGTAGATTCGACAGATTTGTGCAGATGTATTCTAAAAGAGAAATCTCTTTAGGAATTTGCTGTGACTCAAAATGGGAATTATGGCATACTCTCATGATTCCCTGGGATTCTTCTTCCTTGATTGAGTTAGGAGCAAAATGCTTACTCACTGCTTCATTCTTGGAGTAGATGCAAATAGCAGTTCCAGATAAATGTGTGGGATATGGGCTAAAAATAGAAAATTTTATATAGGATGATTGAAAGTGGTTTTGAGCAAGTAGTAAAGGCATCATTTATTCATCCAGTAATTGCACATTTATTTATTTATTTACTATTACTATTTTTTGGGTCATGCCAAGCAGCAGGTGGGATCTTAGTTCCCCGACCAGGGATCGAACCCACACCCCCTGCAGTGGAAGCACAGAGTCTTAACCACTGGACCACCAGGGAAGTCCAACTGCACATTTATTTATTGGATGCTCATTAAGTGCCAGACACTGTTCTAAGTGCCAGGAAGGAACACAGCCTTCCATGAAACAGTCTGAGGTCCGTCTTCCCTCTCAGGTGGCCATAATAGGACCCAGAACAGGGCTCATCCTCTCTGTGGATTTTTTTCACTCCCTGTCTCCAGGAGACAGTGATGGCTTCCCTTTTTGTTTATAACCGTCAGGCATGAGTCATCCCTTTGCCGTGAGTATTGCAGAATCACATATCACGTTCCAGTCTAATTTGTACTGCTGCCAGGGTCTCAGCCAGCAGCTCTTTTTGCCTGTCTTCCAACAGTCTTGGTAGTCAGAACAGTGAGACTGACTGCACAAGTTAATTAACTGGGGAACGGAGGAGAGCATGGTACTTGTTTTCTATCCATTTTTGTTTAGTACAAGATGTATTTAGGAGTAGACAACTTCTTTCTAGGTGCCAATGTACCAGGCAGTACCTACCATCAGAATTCATTTTGGGGGAATTTAAAAAAATTGAAGTATAGTTGATATATAATATTATATGTTACAGGTGTAAAACATAGTGATTCATAATTTTTAAAGGTTGTATTCCATTATAGTTATTATAAAATATGGGCTATATTCCCTGTATTGTACAATATATCCATGTAGCTTATTTATTTTATACATAGTAGTTTGTACCTCATAACCCCTATCTTGCCCCTCACTCCTTCCCTCTCCCCACTGGTAACCACTAGTTTGTTCTCTGTATCTGTGAGTCTGTTTCTTTTTTGTTATAGTCACTAGTTTGTTTTATTTTTTAGATTGCACATGTAAGTGATATCATACAGTATTTGTCTTTCTCTAATTTCACTTAGCATAATGCTGTCCAAGTCCATCCATGTTACTGCAAACGGCCAAATTTTATTCTTTTTATGGCTGAGTAGTATTCCACTGTGTGTGTGTGTGTGTGTGTATATATATATATATATATATATATATGCCATATCTTCTTTATCCACTGAATCCATTTTTTAAAAAATGAATTTGCAACTATGAGCAAATAAAGTCAACTGTCCCTTACAAAGGATGTTGGTTCTACAAATGGACGTGGCAGCTTTGGATGATGGTTGTGTTACACACACAAAATGGTCCTTTGAGGAAAACCTGGAAGCTTATTTTAGAATTTTAAGAAAATCCATCAAATAAACAAGCCAACAAAATTCTTCCTGAAAACTTTCTAAACAACACTTAACTTAGGTTTTGAATATTTAGGCTTTCTTTCCTTAATATTTCTATAATAAGTTTGATTGATTTATACCTTTAAAAAGATATTTACTTAAGTCAGAAGCAATTTTTAAAATATTTTAAAAAACCACTGTCATCTGTAATTATCTTGTTATAAATTTTCAGTTCTTGGGGTTCTCTTCTAGCCTATCTAATTATTATATGTCTTTAAAGTTTTGGCACTTAGGCAATTGCATGTGGTACTCTAAACCCTAAAAGTTCTTACTTACCCACTTTTTGAATGTGCCTCATGAAGTGACTGGTACTCCAGCCGTGTGACTCAGTGTAGTGAAGGGGCTTGTTTTGAATAGCAGGGTGAGTGTCACACTAGTCTTCCAATCAGAAAACATTCCATGTAATTCGAGGCACACATGAAACAGCAGATTTCTTCTTCGCCTAGGCTTGGGTAGAAAGCACGAGGATTTATACAGTGTTTGCTCAAATTACAAATGCTGAGATGGTAAAAGCACTTTTAGCTTTAGGGAGTTCAAAGTGGCCAGCCAAATGAAAGTTCTGTGACCTACCTGCGAATAAAATTTATGAGTTCTTTGTTGAGGAAGAAGGTGAGACCTTTGTGCTTTGCTGGAAATAGGAGAGCGCTCTCTCTCCCTCTCTCTCTCTGTCTCTCTGTCTCTCCGTCTCTCTGTCTCTCTGTCCTTCAACACACACACACACACACACACACACACACACACTACAAGAAACAACACATACACACACAACACACACACACACACACACACACTACAAGAAACAATAGGCTGGCATTTCCCAGCCCTTTCTTCCTTATCTGGAGGAGATCAAAAAGGAAAAGATCCCAGGTTTTGATTTTTAAAAATCTTTCATCAATGATACCTATTGCTCAAAAAAGGAATAAAAACAGAGTATTAGTCTGAAAGAAAATAAACAAATTGCATAGCTTAGATTTCAAATAAAGTAAATTGGCTACATCTGATAACTGTTAAGGACACAGACTTGAGCAGATTTGTGTTGAGTTCTTTCATAACTCTTTAAAATGTACTAGAATTTTGCAAAGGATTGATTTTGAGTCTGCAGACTTTGGAGTTGGTGTGCCTGCAATGGTGATATAGGCACAAGTCTCCAGGTCAACGCTTAGGTCTGGAGTGCCAGGCAAAGTAGGCAATTTCAGAGATTTGGAGGAACCTATGCATGGATGGAAATACAGGCTCTTAAGTGCTTCAAGATCCTTAGGAAAGAAGTAGAACAATAAAAAGAAACTACTAGCTAGGGAAAGGACCTGTGGAAAGTTGTTTCTAAACCAAAGATCATTCTTGAAACTCACTTCAGGCGTTGGGTTTATCAGTTATGATTGGATTCATTGTACAAAACAATCAGAAAAGTAGGGGCTTGCTTAAGCAAGACAGAGGTTAGTTTTTTTCCCTCACATAAAAGAAGTCTAAAGCTAGGCAGTTGAGGACTGGTGTGGCAGCTCTGTAGTCATCAGAGATCCAAGCTCCCTATTGCTTTTTTTTAAAATTAATTAATTAATTAATTTATTTATTTTTGGCTGCATTGGGTCCTCGTTACTGCATGCAGGCTTTCCCCAGTTGTGGCTAGCGGGGTCCCCTCCTCGCTGTGGTGCATGGGCCTCTCATTGCAGCGGCCTTTCTTGTTGCGGAGCACAGGCTCTAGGCGCGCAGACCTCAGTAGCTGTGGCACGCGGGCTCAGTATTTGTGGCTCGTGGGCTCTAGAGCGTGGGCTCAGTAGTAGTGGTGCATGGGCTTAGTTGCTCCACGGCATGTGGGATCTTCCTGGACCAGGGCTTGAACCCGTGTCTCCTGCATTGGCAGGCGGATTCCCAACCACTGCGCCACAGAGAAGTCCCCCTATTTCTTTTTGCTTCATCATCCTCAAGGCTGGCTTCTACTCTCACATTTGCCCGAGGACTGCAGGATGATCACTGCTGCTCTGTCTGTCACATCTGTGCTCCAAGCAAGAAGGGCAAGTCCAAAGGGTGTACTTACTAGTAGAATCAACCCTTTAAAGAGCTTTCCTGTTGCCCCACCTATTATTGGCTACCCCGTCTATAAAAGACATTGCCTTCCCAATAATGCAGAGGTTAAATATTGGATAGGCAAATCTTAATCTCTGCCAGACCAAGTGAACATGAGCGTAAAGGTATTACTAAGACTTAGGTGGCTAAGACTTTGGGATGCCTGCCAACTCCTAGAATAGGACCGTAATGTTTGGCAGATCTAGCCTTTAGTTTGCTGCTTGATTGATTGATTCAACAAAGTTAAGGACTTACTCTGTACTAGGCACTGGAGTTATAGTAGTGAACAAGATAGACATGGTCCCTGTCCTCAAAGAGTTTATAGGCTAATGGGAAAGAATTAGGTTTTAAATAAATAAATTTTAAATGTGTTGAACATTAAGAAAAGGAGAAGTAGAGAGTGCTCGGGATTGTGTAATAGGAAAGACTCCCGAGGGGTATGACACGATGTATACATTGAGATTTAAAGGACCTTGGGAATTAGCCGTGTTAGAAAGATAGGGATGAGTTAGTCAGGTTAGAAAGAGGGGGAGGAATGTTCTAGGCAGATTCACTCCCAGTCTGTTAAGAGTTCTTTCTTCATCTACTATTTGTCTTATTTCTTTATCAGAGGGAATTAATGGGAGTTTCCAAAGCAACAAAAGGGACTAAATAGTCTCTTTTATCTAAAATGGCTAAAAGAAAAAATAAATAAATAAAATGGCTAAAAGGACTGCCATCCTTTCTACTTACTTCTCTCTGGACGAGTGCCTGCCTGCATAGGCTGCACCAGGGAGTGTTGGTAACCAAGGAAGGAGGTGGACAAATGATTGGGGCATACCGAAGTTCAGTTGCCCCATCATAGATCTGGATTTTGGCCTCAGTGTGGGACTTTGGGGAGGCAAGGATTGGTTCTGACCCTGAAGTGCTGATATGACCCCCTTCCCCTTCTAGGAAGTGGACATTGTGGTAGCACCGTGCCAAGGCCTCCGGCCCACAGTGGATGTTCTGGGTGACTTGGTGAATGATTTCTTGCCTGTGATAACCTATGCACTCCACAAAGATGAACTCTCTGAAAGGGATGAGCAAGAGCTTCAGGAAATCCGAAAGTATTTCTCCTTTCCCGTATTCTTTTTCAAAGTGCCGAAGCTGGGCTCGGAGATAATCAGCTCCTCCACCAGAAGAATGGAGAATGAAAGATCACCACTCCATCGCCAGCTAACTGACCTGGGCTATCTGAGCAGCAGTCACTGTAACTGTGGGAACCCCAGCCAGGACACCAAAGCTCAGAGCGTGTTGGTGGAGCAAAGTGAGAAGCTGAGACACTTGAACACATTTTCTCACCAGGTGCTACAGACTCACCTGGTGGACGCAGCCAAGGCCCTGAACCTGGTGCACTGCCGCTGCCTCGACATCTTTATTAACCAGGCCTTTGACATGCAGCGGGACCTGCAGATTACTCCCAAACGTCTAGAATATACACGAAAAAAGGAGAATGAGTTGTACGAATCACTGATGAATATTGCCAACCGAAAGCAGGAGGAAATGAAGGACATGATCGTTGAGACGCTTAACACCATGAAGGAGGAGCTTCTGGATGATGCTGCCAACATGGAGTTTAAAGGTAGGTCCTAGAGAACTTGGTAGGGCGTGGGGACTACAGCATCCTCTAACTCTTTTCCAGCTGGAAGTTGAGTTCATTAATTCTGAAGCCCAAAGGAACCTCAGGATCATCTCACCTACCCCCACTGTCATTAGCAGGAGCCCACCTTAAATCATTTAGCCAAGGTGGCATCTTTTGTTCTGAGAGACCTTCCTGGAAGATTCCACCATCATTCCTTCCTAGGACTGTTAGTCCAGCTTTTGGTAAATTCATCCCAATAGTGCTCTTTAGTCTCCCGTTTATATCTGTATCCCCTTGGCCTTGATAAAACTGGAGAAGAGCTGCTTGAAGAATGTCACTGAGTCATGCTTCAACCCTGGCTCCTTTGGCATGGCCCATGCTTCTTTGTCTGTTCTTTTTTGTGTGTCATGGTCTCATTTTCTTTTCAGGCTGCTCCTGAGACCTAACTCAGAAGGATTTCCCAAAGTAGCGGTTTTGGCTTTTCTGGCGTTCCCATTCTTCATGAATGACTGTTAACAAAACTGGGCCAAATGCTTAGTCTGGTCTTTTGGTGTCTGAGGTTTAGATGCTACTGACTTTGTATACTGACTTCTGTATGAACATTAGCTCTACTACCTATTAATTAAAGTACGTGGTTTGCAAGTTACCCTTTAGGTTCTCAGTCATGGCTATGCATCCAAATAACCTGGGAGGCTTTTTGAAAATGTAGATGCTTGAGACCATTAAAGACCACTCCAGACCTAATCAGCATTTCTGACATGGGACCTAGCCTCAGTTTTTTGTCTTTGTTTTTTTCTAAAACAACCTCCCTAGGTGGATTCTGCTTATTGCCATTTTCTAGATGAGGAAACTCAGGCTTAGACAGGTTAAGTACTTTGCTCAAGGTCACACAGCTACTAAATAGTAGAGGCAGAATTTGAATCTAGACAGTCTGATTCCTGAGCCCATACTCTTAATTTCCATGCTTTACTGCTTCTTAATCTATTCCCAGTGACCGATGCTACCATCTTCCTGGGAACCAGCTTCAAAACCTCAGCATGGGGACTTCCCTGGTGGTCCAGTGGTTAAGACTCTGCGCTTCCAATGTAGGGGGCACGGGTTTGATCCCTGGTCGGGGAGCTAAGATCCCACGTGCTGCGCGGCTCGGCCAAATAAAAAAAATAAAAATATTTTAAAAAGTAAAAAAAAAGTCTCAAACAAAAACCTCAGCATGGTCTTTAACTGTTTTCTTTCTCTTGTCCCCGTATCCAGTCAGTTGCCAAGTCCTGCTGAGTCTTCTTCCCTATTTCATATATACCTTTGCTTCTCTATTCCTTCCTCTTTAGTCTAACTGAACTACTGTTACCTGACTGATCTCACTGAGATCTTTCTCTCCTTTCCCCAGTTCATCTTTATTGGCTCTATTTCTGCAGACTGAGTTAAGACTCCTTTAGCCTAGTATTCAAGATCTTCCAAAGCCTAACCCTTTCCAACTTTCTCAGTCTTATTTCCCACTATGCACCTTCCTGTAATTTCTTTTTTGGTTGGTTTCAACTGCTTCCTGTCCTCTGTATGCTTCCTTTATTTTATTTTATTTTATTTTTTGCTTATGCCCTGCCCTAAACCTGAATCTCTTTTATTTGTGAATTTTCAAATCCTACCTACCCTTCAAGGCCTCTTCCAAATAACATTTTTCATGAAGTTGTCTTTAATTTTCTTAGCTAATAATGATTGCAGTTCATCTGAACTCCCATAGAATTTCATCTGGAACTGAAATTTCTGGTATATTTCACTTTTTATCTTATTATTATAGTTGTTTATGTTCCTCTATTTTCTAAAATCCTAGAAATGAAGAACAGGATCTGGGTCTTTATTCATCACTATATCCCTTGCAGCAAATAACAGAGTCTGTGTATAGTATATCTTTGGAGAATGAATGAGTGTGTGAGTGATGGTATATGTTTGTCACACTTATAGATACAAAGGAAATATACTTTAGCAAGCATAGCATGCTTGATTTCTTATAGGTCTTTCTAAAGATGAACAAAGATACCTCTTTGGCGATTTCCCATTGTAGGGAGGAGTTGCTGAGAAGTGCTCACTTCCAGTGGAAATCCTAGGAAATCTTCTGAATGTTTAATTTAATTCAGTGCCTGAATAAAAGACACCGGAGCATCAATGCCAGCATCAGAGTAGACATGATAAAGGGTTGTCAGGGCAGGTAGGTTGAGCAGTCAGTGAAAACATTTGATTGTCTATCATGTACCAGGTAATCATGTTTGGTACCTGGGGCACAGTGGTTAGTTCAGATGTGGAGTAACTGGGAACAAGTACATCAAATGTCTGGCTCTGTTAACTACATCATGGACTTGTGGTTCTACTTACCTAGTTGGCTACATCTTAGACAGGACTTACGTGCTGCTTCTTACCTTGTTCTAATACATTCTGGGTATCCTTCAGGCAATGACAAGTAGATTTAGAAGACAGCTGCCACATATCCTATGGAGCCAGATTTTTTTTTTTTTAATTTATTTTTTGGCTGTGTTGGATCTTCGTTTCTGTGTGAGGGCTTTCTCTAGTTGTGGCAAGCGGGGGCCACTCTTCATCGTGGTGCGCGGGCCTCTCACTATCGCGGCCACTCTTGTTGCGGAGCACAGGCTCCAGATGCGCAGGCTCAGTAGTTGTGGCTCACGGGCCTAGTTGCTCCGCGGCATGTGGGATCTTCCCAGACCAGGGCTCGAACCCGTGTCCCCTGCATTAGCAGGCAGATTCTCAACCACTGCGCCACCAGGGAAGCCCCGGAGCCAGATTTTTATTACTGATTTTTGTTTGTTTTAAAATAAAGGTAATGCATGCATACTAGGTATCATGACATACATACTTTATAAATTATTTATGTTTTGAAAAGATAGTACCTATAAACGTGGTACTTTACTCAAAGATAAAAAGATACTGTCTCCTAGTCATCTAGTTTTCCTCTATATGTTCTTCTGCCCTTGCTTTTTCACTTACCCCATATCTTAGAGATCTTTCCATAAATGTGCAGAGAAATTTGTCTTCTTCTAATGGATATACCTTAATTTATTTAACTGTTCCCCTACTGCTGGATATGTAGGCTGTTTCTTGCTTTCTTTTATTTTTTTTAATAAATTTATTTATTTTATTTATTTATTTTTGGCTGCATTGTGTCTTTGTTGCTGCACGCGGGCTCTCTCTAGTTGCGGCGAGTGGGGGCCACTCTTCGTTGTGGTGCACGGGCCTCTCATTGCGATGGCCTCTCCTATTGTGGAGCATGGGCTCCAGGTGCACAGACCTCAGCAGTTGTAGCACACGGGCTCAGTAGTTGTGGCTCGTTGGCTCCAGAGTGCAGGCTCAGTAGTTGTGGTTCACGGGCCCAGCTGCTCCACAGCCATGTGGGATCGTCCCAGGCCAGGGCTCGAACCTGGGTCCCCTGCATTGGCAGGCGGATTCTTATCCACTGCACCAACAGGGAAGCCCCTTTCTTCCTTCCTTTCTTCCTTTCCTCCCTCCCTCCCTCCTTCCCTTCCTTCCTTCCTTCCTTCCTTCTTTCTCTTCCTTCCTCCCTTTCTTTCTTCCTTTCTTTCTTTCTTTTGTTCCTTTCCTTTCCTTTCTTTTCCTTTCCTTTCCTTTCCTTTCTTTCTCTCTTTCTCTCTCAGAGTATACTGCATTGATCATCATTGTGCATGCATGTATTTGAGACTTGTAAGGGTATATTTCTAGAAAAATAATTCCTAGAAGCAGAAAGAGTAGTTGGGTCAAAGGGTGTATAGATTTCTTTTGTTTATTGGTTGGTTAGCTTAAATTTTTGATAGATATTGCCAGATATCTTCCAAAGAGGTAGTACCAATATAAGTTTCTAACATTAGAGAGGGCCTTTTTAGGAGTGGAATTTTTATAGGTGATTTGTCTTCTCTTAAGTTCTTCTGTCCTCTGGTTTGCAAAACAGACTTTTCTAATCCTGAGAGCTAGTAGCATAGTGGGGACAACGTTCCAGTTTTACTTTTTATTTCTCTAGTAGTTGATTAAAATTGAATTCTTGACTCTTGGATTTTTCTCATTAATATGCTAGGAAGTGTGAATTATTACAAAGATAAGAGGCTTTGGAATCTATGAGCTTTGGATTCAAATGCTAGCTATATTACTTCCTAACTGTACCATCCCTTCCCAGTACCCACTTTATTCTCTCTTTGAGGCTTTTTCCTGACATATAAAATATAACCAGTAATATACCCCTGACAGTGTTGTTGTTGGGGTTAAATTAGATTACATATGAAAAATACTTACTGTGCATTTCAAATAGTCTGCAGTCAATAAATGTTGTTTCTCCTCTTCTATAAATGTGATATAAGAGCTGACAAAATCAATAGGTTCATTCTGTACACAGTTGCTCCTTCTCACGATTCTTAGATGCCTTAAGTAGTTGAGGATTGCATGGCCCATGGTCATACTGAGAGTCAGTTTGTCAGCCATATGCGTTTAGTAGCTGTTGTTCATGGTAGCTCCTTGGGTCTGACTTGGGAGCTGCCTTTATTCAGTGTGCCTGCCCCTTCCCCTCACAGCCAACTAGCTTTTTGCTCTGCCTCCATAGATGTCATTGTCCCTGAGAATGGAGAACCAGTGGGCACCAGAGAGATCAAATGCTGCATCCGACAGATCCAGGAACTCATCATCTCCCGGCTTAATCAAGCAGTGGCTAACAAGCTGATCAGCTCTGTGGATTACCTACGTGAGAGCTTCGTCGGAACGCTGGAACGGTGTCTGCAGAGCCTGGAGAAGTCTCAGGATGTCTCGGTTCACATCACCAGTAATTATCTCAAACAGGTACTCAAAGGGTAGTTAAGAGCGTGTCACAGATAACACATGAAACAGAATCCACCCACGAACCCAGCTTCAAGTTGGTCAAGAATTTCCCTTGCAACTTTTTGCCAGTCCAGTTTGAATTCTATTTTATTTTCCTATCTCATGACCGCTGTCCGTGGGAGGTGCTTGTGAACGGTCAAATTGCGGTTAAGTCAATGAGCAAGAAGATGAAGATGAAGTAAAGGAGCCCAAATAGTCACCAGATAGATGATCAGCCTGCATTGACTCTGCACAGACACTGAGGGATAGATTTGGGAACCTTGAAACTGCACCATGTTCTTGAAATAAATATCATTTATTGCATTTTTTTTTTTTTTTTTTTTTTTTTTTTTTTTTGCGGTACGCGGGCCTCTCACTGCTGTGGCCTCTCCTGTTGCGGAGCACAGGCTCCAGACGCACAGGCTCAGCGGCCATGGCTCACGGGCCCAGCCACTCCGTGGCACGTGGGATCTTCCCGGACCGGGGCACGAACCCGTGTCCCCTGCATCAGCAGGCAGACTCCCGACCACTGCGCCACCAGGGAAGCCCCATTTATTGCATTTTTAATTAGCCACTCTACTCAGGGAATATTGACTTTCGTTTGTGTACTCTCTTTCAGATCTTAAATGCTGCCTATCATGTTGAAGTCACATTTCACTCAGGGTCCTCAGTTACAAGGATGCTGTGGGAGCAAATCAAACAGGTAGAGGTTGTTTAGGGAAGTGTTTTTCAGCCCCTAGTTGGCTTAGGTGAATCTGGTCGCTCCAACAGAAACTGATGTCTAGGGTGTCTGTCCTAAACAAACTGATGTCTGTCAGGGCAGGTGGCCATTTGTCGTGGTTTGCCTGCCTGGGAGAATCCTGGTTTATGCCTGTTCTGAAATAATTATTAACAGTGCCCCCTTTAACTCTTAAAAGTGATGTGTCTAAATGATATTTTATGGAGCCATAAAACCCTGCTTCATTATCTTCTTCATATTTCTTTTTCCCAACCTAAGTGTTTTCTCAGAAGCAGGCTTTGTTGCCAGAGGCCATGAGTGCGGTTTCCTTTCTGATGTTCCATCTGACTCTTCCGTAGAGTTATTTGCTGTGTTTAGAAAGGGGTTTATCAGGCACCCCCAGTACTGAGTGTAACGTATTGATTTGTGAGCACGCAGACTAGGCCTAGTGTTCTTTGATGCTTTCCACTGGGCTGAGCCCCGATTTTGAGGTAGATGGAATTGGAGAGGAGTGCTGGACTTCATACAGCTCTTATCTTAAGATCCTGGCCTAACGAGTGGGTAACCCAGAGAGGGAGGGGTGCTGGTTCTTCCTGGTGGTTCCTGTCTCCCATCCCTCAGTGTTCTCACTGTCCTCACCCTGACAGATCATCCAGCGCATCACATGGGTGAGCCCACCTGCCATCACACTAGAGTGGAAGAGAAAGGTGGCCCAGGAAGCCATCGAGAGCCTCAGCGCCTCCAAGCTGGCCAAGAGCATTTGCAGCCAATTCCGGACTCGGCTCAACAGTTCTCATGAGGCCTTTGCAGCCTCCTTGCGGCAGGTGGGTATATAGGAAAGGACATACAGCTGGATCAATCGGAGAGGAACCTCATCCACTGTGGAATGTTTCATCTACTGCTGTCTACATAATTTTTAAAAAGTCATCAGTATATTTCCTTTCTATTCTGTTAAAGGATAATACTAAGTTACAGGTTGTTTCATCAGTAACTTTTTCATGTGGATATTTCTCTAACTTTAGAGAGAATGGAGGGAACTCAATTAATGTCTCCCCACTTCACTGAGTGAGGAATGAAAATCGAGGGGTAGGAATTTTATATGAGTTTATATAGTATTTTAGGGATGAGTGACAGAAAGGGATGACATTCCAACTTCCATAGTAGTTTGCAGTTATGTGACATCTGCTTATCCCTTTGGGGTGTGCGCGTGTGCATGTGTACATGTGTGTGGAGGGGAGGGTGGGTAGACGTGATTATGCATCCAGGAAGAAAAAGTATTACTTAATGAATGCTCACGGTCTGCCAATCTCTGAGCTATGTTACATATATCTTATTTAATTCTCACAGGTATCCTCATGAGGTAGATATTATTATCCCCATATAATAGGTGAAGAAGCCAAAGCTGGGGACCTGATAAGTCATATTTCTTTCTTCTTTTTCCTTCCCAGCTGGAAGCTGGCCACTCAGGCCGGTTGGAGAAAACTGAAGATCTATGGCTGAAGGTTCGGAAAGATCATGCTCCCCGCCTGGCCCGCCTTTCACTGGAAAGCCGTTCTTTACAGGATGTCTTGCTGCATCGTGAGTCCTTATTTTTTTCCCTAGTAAATTGGAGGAGGAAGGTTCTGGATACCTGACATCCTCATGTCCAACCCTGGAGAACCCCAGTGTCTAAAGCTGCTTCCTTGCGAAGCTGCCTAAACACCCATTGATGTATTTTTGAATTTCTGATGAAGTCTGTTTGGTCCTGCTATTTATATAGTTCAAATAACACAACCAAAGTTTATTCAAATTAAACCAGTTAGGTTACTACCGGTTAAGAAAACATCCAAATTTCTTCCCCTGGCATAATTATGACTTCCTGCTTCTAGGCAGGTCCATGTCTAAGAATCTTAGGGAGGTTGCCCAGCAAGTTCCCATCCTTCCTGCCTTATCTCTGTCTCTGTACCTTATAGGTAAACCTAAACTGGGACAGGAACTGGGCCGGGGCCAGTATGGTGTGGTGTACCTGTGTGACAACTGGGGGGGACACTTCCCTTGTGCCCTCAAGTCAGTTGTCCCTCCAGATGAGAAGCACTGGAATGACCTAGCTTTGGAGTTCCACTACATGAGGTGGGTTCTGGTCTCATTCATCTTCGTGGGGAACGATCCAGAGAAGCAGCTTAGAAGCCTGGTATAAATTCTGTACCAAGAGCTATAGTAAACCTTGTCTCTCCATTCCTATGTCTCAAAATGTTGTAGACCAGTATTCCAGTGTCTGGCCCAGAAATGTGCTCTCTTCAAGGCCTTTCCTGCCTCTACCTGCCCTTTCCCCACCATCCTAATTTTTCAGACCCATCCTTCCATTTGACATTCTTCCTTAGTCCTTAAGGCCTGTCAGTTTTTAGATTCCATAATTCTCTGTCCTCGTTAGAGAGGCCATTCTCTTTGCCCTCTCGCTGTACTGAGGGCTATTACCTCTGGGCCTGGACTCTGCACGGTCTCAGGGTTATTTCTTCCACTGTAGTGACATGCTATGCAAGGTTAGCTCTAGCCCAGACCCTTCCGCTCCTCACCAGGTCTCTGCCGAAGCATGAGCGATTGGTGGATCTGCACGGCTCCGTCATCGACTACAACTATGGTGGTGGTTCCAGCATCGCTGTGCTGCTCATTATGGAGCGGCTGCACCGGGACCTCTACAGTGGGCTGAAGGTGAGGCAGGGCAAGGAGGGAGTGAGGCCCAGCTGGCAGCCAGATCCACAGGTTCCTTTCTGGCCTTTCCTCCTTTCTTCTTTATTCAGAGCCTCTAGCTCTCATAAGACAATGTTGGAGTAATCAAGCTTTATTACCTTCATTTCCAAAAAACCTTAAAAATGTCTCAGAACATGTTTTTTTGCCCAGTTTATATCCAGAATACTGCAGTTCACCACTTTTACCTCTCGTGGTAGTGTAAAAATCTAGACTACACAGAAGAGCAGAAAAGCTTTCTATAACTCTGCTATTCTTTCTCTTTTTTCGTTCTCAGTGAATTAAGCTAGTTTTTATTGTCAACAAATATTTATTAGTGACTACTTTGTACAAGGCCCTGTATTAAGCAACATAAGGGGATGTCAAAAAGTATAATTGGCCAGGGGCTTTTAAAAGAATTGTAGGGACTTCCCAGGCGGTGCAATGGTTAAGAATCCACCTGTCAGTGCAGGGGACACGGATTCGATCCCTGGTCTGGGAAGATCCCACATTCCGCGGAGCAACTAACCCCCACGCCACAACTACTGAGCCCGTGTGCTGCAACTACTGAAGCCCACGTGCCTAGAGCCCGTGCTCTGCAACAAGAGAAGCCAGCGCGATGAGAAGCCCGCGCACCACAATGAAGAGTAGCCCCTGCTCACCACAACTAGAGAAAGCCCGCACGTAGCAATGAAGACCCAACACAGCCAAAAATAAATTCAAAAACAATTTTTTTAAATAAAATAAAATAATTGTAGTCAGTGAATATTTCACGAACAGGTGGCATTTGAGTTGGATAAATGAACCCTGATGGGTAAAAGTTGGGCAGATGGAAAGAAGAGGTCATACCGGGGGAAGGAATAGCTTAGTGCCCAGAACATTTGAAGGACACTGACTGTGTTGGAGAAGCTGGTTCATTTGGGGAATAGAGGGGAGATAATATGCAAAGAAATGTTGGGAACAAATTATAGAAGACCAAAAACGTTAAAAGTTCCATAGCATTCAAATTCTGCCGTAGACAGTGAGAAGTGGAAGATTTTGAATGAAGGTGAAATACCCTCAGTTGGATGTTGAGTTCCCCTCATCTAAAACAGCCACCAGCAGGGAAATAGAGAGGTTTCTTTTGTCTGTCCTCTACATTGGAGCTGGAAAAGCTAACCCCAGAGTATCTGGTAGGTCCCTTCTCGCAGGTGCCTCTTGTACCAGTTTATATGGAATAAGACAGAAGAATCCTCAGATATGCTTGCAGGAGCCATGAGAAATCAATATGGTGAATAAAATGACTCTGCAAGCGGCTTTCCTTCTTCATTTCAGGGAAGTTAAGCTAAGTACCATGTGATGCTTTTCCATAAGTGGGTTAGACAACCATATATGGGCTTTTGGATGAGTGATATAACATTCTCCAGAATTCAAGAGACCCTAAATTGGAGGCTTGGTAGAAGTAAGATGGGTGACTTTGGTATTTGAATCCATAAAACCAAAGGCTAACCAGTCCTACAAAGCAATGGAAGTAAATCTGCCTGAGAGTCCTAGAAATACTCACTTTGAGCCTCTAAGGCAGTTCTAGAGTTTGCTCAGGGTTAGAGATGCACTCATGCCTTCAGGCGTTTGGTTGTGGCTCTCCTAGTCACATTTGGGGATCATCCGGCTGGCCTAAGTGCTGCTTCCAAGGGATCTGACCTGGCCTTTATGGCTTGCCCTTCCTTGCTCTTCCTTTATGTCCCTCTCCTGACTGCCTTCTTCTTCCCTTATTCTCATCCACTTTTCTGTCCTTGTGTGCCCTAGTGTGGTCAGTCTTTCAGTATCTCACAGAAGGAACTCTTCATTGGTATAAGCAAGTTGGATTGAGGAGTTGTCTTCTTAGTGACAGGTAAACCCTTTTGTCTCCCCAAGGCTGGGCTGACCCTGGAGACCCGTTTGCAGATAGCCCTAGATGTGGTGGAAGGAATCCGCTTCCTGCACAGCCAGGGACTTGTCCACCGTGATATCAAACTGAAGAATGTGCTGGTAAGTAAGAGCTGTTTCCCCAAGATAACTCCCTGTCTCTATGTGTAAGTGACCTTTGGAAGGAGGTACACATGAATGTAAATTCGGTCACAGGAAAAGACTGTGACCAGTTAACAGCAGAGTGGATGGATGGTATCTTGGACTTGAAGCTTAGGGAGGAGTTGCATCATAGGCCTAGCTTATATTGCTTAAGATTTTTTCTCCCAACACTGTTGAGAAAATTTAAACTTACAGAAAAGCTAAAAGAGTGGTACAATGAAGACCCACATACTGTTCACCCAGATTCATATTCTCTTTCCTATTGTAGTCTCTCTTTGTTTCTCTCTCTCTCTTTCTTCACACACACACATACACACACGCACACATTTTTTAACTGAACTATATGAGAGTAACTTGCAGATAAAACTTTACTCCTATATACTTCAGCTTGTATCTTCTAAGGAAAAGGACATTCTTCCACTTAATTAAAATGCCATTATTCACACCCAAGAAGTTTAAATTGATACAATATTATTAGTTAATACACAGTCTATATTAACATTTTCCAGTTGTCCCAAATATGTTCAACTATCCCAAATATGGTCTATTTGTTTGTTTGGCCCAAGATCCAATCCAAGGATCATACAGTGCATTTTTCTCATGTTTCTTTAGCCTCTTAATCTAGAATAGTCCTGCCTTTTTTTGCTTTTGTGACATTGATATTTTTGAGGATTCCAGGTCTTGTTATTGCTTAGGGTTTGAGATGCTGGATGAGGACTGAGATGGGTAAACACACCTTAAAAGGTAAGATAGTCATGAACCTACCAGTCCTGTTATCTAAATTATAAAGAACCTTTTGACATACTCCTTTTGAAAATATATTGGATTATCACTGAAGTATCTCTGGCAACACTTAAATGATATATAAAGGGGGCTTCCCTGGTGGCGCAGTGGTTGAGAATCCGCCTGCCAATGCAGGGGACACAGGTTCGAGCCCTGGTCTGGGAAGATCCCACATGCTGTGGAGCAACTAAGCCTGTGAGCCACAACTACTGAGCCCACGTGCCACAACTACTGAAGTCCACGCGCCTAGAGCCCGTGCTCCGAAACAAGAGAAGCCACCACAATGAGAAGCCCACACACCATAAAGAAGAGTAGCCCCCGCTCACCGCAACTAGAGAAAGCCCGCTTGCAGCAATGAAGACCCAACACAGCCAAAAAATAAATAAATAAATAAATTTATTTTAAAAGATGATATATAAAGATGATAGCAGTTTTGGGGGGAGGGAAATATCTTCCTAAAATTCTAGGCTGGAACCTAAGAGGCTTGTCAATAGCCAAATGAGACAGATTTTTTTTTTAATTTTTATTTTTATTGAAGTATAGTTGGTTTATAATATGTTAGTTTCTGGTGTACAGCAAAATGATTCAGTTCTACATATATATTCCTTTTCATATTCTTTTCCATTTTATGTTATTACAAGATATTGAATGTAGTTCCCTGTGTTATACAATAGGATCTTGTTGTTTATCTGTTCTATATATATAAGTTGTTATATGCTAATCCCAAACCCCTAATTTATCCCTCCCCTACCCCCTTCCCCTTTGGTAACCATAAGTTTGTTTTCTATATCTGTGAGTCTGCTTCTGTTTTGTAAATAAGTTCATTTGTATCATATTTTAGATTCCACATAGAACTGATATCACATGATATTTGTCTTTTTCTGTCTGACTCACTTCACTTCTTTTGATAATCTCTCGTTCCATCCATGTTACTGTACTATTTCATTCTTTTTTATGGCTGAGTAGTATTCCATTGTGTGTGTGTGTGTGTGTGTGTGTGTGTGTGTGTGTGTGTATACATACATCTTCTTTATCCGTTCACCTGGGACAGATTTATTGTCTTGGACCTCAGGAAAGGAAACTAGAGGGAATTAAAAAACCCTCCTCAGCTGACTAGAGGACCTCAACCTTCTTATTTAGCAACTTCCTGCCCTGGGTTCTGGAGGTCAGAGGAGAATAATCAGGAACTAATAATACTTTCCTCAGTGCCCTTCATTTATTCATTCATCCAAGATTTGCTAAGCTCCTGATATGTGGCACTATGCTAAGTGCTAAGTACTATGCTAAGTACAAAGATGAAAAAGGCAGTCCTTGCCATCAGGTTGTTTACAGTATGGGGAGAAGACAGTAATGGGAGTGAATCTAGAGGCCGGGAGAATAGAGGCAGAGTTGATTAAGTACTACTGTGAGGTAGATGCCTACTTTTGAGCTTGGGTATGCAGCTGAGCGCTACGTGCAGGACCAGGCATAGAATGACTCTCACCCTGCTTTGTTGGCAGTTGGACAAGCAGAACCGTGCCAAGATCACTGACTTAGGATTCTGCAAGCCAGAGGCCATGATGTCAGGCAGCATTGTGGGGACACCAATTCATATGGCCCCTGAACTTTTCACAGGTAAGCTGGAGGGCAGGGAGTGGGTTTGGGCAGGGCTCCGTGTTTTAACCAAGTGCTACCCTTTGGGCTAAGTAGTATCCACAAGTACTACTGGCAGTTCTGGCACAGGGAGGGGAGAAACCAGAACAGGGGAAACCTAAGACAAGTAGGGGGACACGTGAAGAGGTAAAGGGGCAAGAAAGAAAAGTGTAAATGGGAGTCACCAACTGTTGTTTTGGATGTCTCTCTGGGCTATTAGTGCCATCATTGCCATAGTCAACCAATTATTTAATCCTAAAGTATTGATTGAATAATTCCTATATAATAAGAGTTGTCCTCTATCATTAAAGAACTTACAGTTGACAGAGATATATTGAGAGGTAAAATAATTAAGAAGCAGTATAAGACAACATGTGATTAAGTGCTACATAATGTTGGTGTTCAGAGAAGAAATGTTAGATGGTTTTGTGGTAGAGGTGAAATTCTGGATAGAAACTGAATGAGATCTGGAAAATTTGGTAGGTGGGAAGGGAAGTCAATATATTTATTAATATATTCTTTGAGCTAGGCACTGTGGGTATGTTATATCATATATTTTGTTCCATTTAATCCTCATGACAATTCTGTGGTGATATTGATGCATTTTTATGTCCATGTCATGGATTAAGTTGAGGCCAGATTGATGAAGAAACCCACCCCAAAACACTGAGCTAGAAGTAATGAGGCTGGGATTGGAATTTAGGTCTTTCTGTCTCTAGAGTCCAACCATGTTAGGTAGGAGAGAAAATTCTGGAGGCTGGGGGAGCGGAAATAGGAGCAAAATTGCCGATTAGAAATAAGCATGACACGAAAGAAATCAGTTCGGGAAGTAATAGCAAACAAGTTGTAGATAAGATATATTTGAGCTTGAAATTTATGCAGTGGAGTGAAGGCTTGATGTGAAAGAAGTAAGGAGCTATTGGGCTTTTGAACAGGTGAGGGATGAAAAGAGATGTTCATGGAAATGTTTAGTAGCAGTAGGTAAGGCAGATTGAGTGGCAAGAGCCATGTAGGGAGACCAGTGGTGGAGACCAGACCTAGGATTAAGTTGGTAGTAGTGCTGAAACAAAAAATGTTACAGATTTGAGATCAATTCAGAGGAAGGATGGGCAAGATTTTGTAATTAACTTGATATGGGTGATGAACAGGAATGAATGACTAAAAGATGACTCCAAGGTTTTGAGCCTGAATGGATGAGGAAGGTTGCGTCATTGCCGGGGAAGGTGGAAAGGGAATGGCAGGTCACTTGTTAGTATTGGTAAGACTTAAAATTAGCAATTTATAATATTTGGATTTCTCTCATTAGCCGCAAGTCTTCCCCCAACCCTTCATTGAGTGATACATATAAGGATTAGGAGTTAGTTGGATAGCTGTAGTCCTACGCACATTGAAAAGAAATAGACAGTCATCATTTTTCTTTCCCTGACTTTTACAAAAATTTCTATTCCCACTTTTATTATTTTATCTTGGCTACTTCATATTTAAATTCATTTGATTATTTCTACTGCAGTTCATCCTACTGCTGTAAAAAATAATCTTTCTAAAATATTTTCTTCATGTCACCTCCTGCTCTAAAGGATAAATTACTCCTGCTGCCCATCAAATCCAGACTCTTCTGTCCGACTTTAAAAATCTTTATGTTATGGTTCCAACCTATCTACCCACCTGTATTTCCCAACTTTATTTCCCTAACATGACCTTTCAGGATTAATCTTTTTGATTGTCCCATTAAAATGAAGGCCCGGACTCCCCTGGTGGCACAGTGGTTAAGAATCCGCCTGCCAATGCAGGGGACACGGGTTCAATCCCTGGTCCGGGAAGATCCCACATGCCGCAGAGCAACTAAGCCCGTGCGCCACAACTACTGAGCCTGTGCTCTAGAACCTGTGAGCCACAACAGCTGAGCCCGAGTGCTGCAGCTACTGATGCCCGCGTGCCTGGAGCCGGTGCTCCGTGACAGGAGGAACCACCGCAATGAGAAGCCCGTGCACCGCAGCGAAGAGTGGCCCCTGCTTGCTGCAACTGGAGAGGACCCGTGCGCAGCAACCAAGGCCCGACACAGCCAGAAATGAATGAATGAAAGAATAAATAAATCAATTTATTTATTTTAAAAATAAAAAAGTACTTCACACAAACAATAATCAAATACAAAATATAATGACTATCAGTGAAATATAAAATAAATAAAATAAAGTAAAAGGCCTGTTTTCCTTCCCCTTTGTCAAGTTCTAGTCTTGGCTCTTCTAATCTTTAGCCCTCCCAGTGCCATAGTTTTTCGTATTATAAAATGGGCATTATAAATGTGTCCTGCCTAACAGGGTTGTTATAAGAGATAATGGGCATTAAAGGCTTTAGGAAAGAATGTGTAAAGGCCTCTGCAGATGCAAGTTAGTGGTGATGCTGTTGATTCCCTCCCTGGCTCACTACTTGTCACCCTTTCTTGCTGTAGGGAAGTATGATAATTCTGTGGATGTCTACGCTTTTGGCATTCTTTTCTGGTATATCTGCTCAGGCTCTGTCAAGCTCCCTGAGGCATTTGAGAGGTGTGCCAGCAAAGACCATCTCTGGAACAATGTGCGGAGAGGTAAGAACCACGAGCCTTGCTTTGCCCTGACTCCCCAGAAGAGAGCAGACTGAGACCAGGCACTGCCGCAGCGGCCTCCTGTCCTCCTCTCTGGCCACTCCACAGCAGGACCTCATACACGTTTAAACCATCATGGAATCCAGAAAGGACATTTAAGTCAAACCTCTGCTTCCAGGCAGCGTGGTTCTGAACTCTCAGACAGGTTTTTATCTTTAAAATTTCTAATTCTTCAACATCCTATGCCAGTGTATTCCAGTTTTTCTTCACAGTTACTATTAGGTTCTAACCTAGATAGCTGCAGCTGAAGCCAAAGCTCACTGCATTGTGTAGCATCCTGAGCCCCAACTGGGGCCCTAGTTCCCTGGATCCTCTGCAGAGAGTGGCTCACTGATTGAGCAAAAGCCTTTCACTTCTCTGGGAAGAAGGACTGTGCTGGTTCTTCCCAGACCAAAGAAGTCATTTGTGACTCCATCAGTTTCAAGAGGACAGAGCCTGTGAACTGATCATGCCTCTTCATTGTGTCGGTTCCCTTCTCGCCGCCTCCGGTCTTATTTCCATGCTCCTCTCTCTAGGGGCCCGTCCAGAACGCCTCCCTGTGTTTGACGAGGAGTGCTGGCAGCTGATGGAAGCCTGCTGGGATGGTGACCCCTCGCAGAGACCTCTCTTGGGCATTGTCCAGCCCATGCTCCAGGGCATCATGGACCGGCTATGCAAGTCACATTCTGAGAGGCCTAACAGAGGACTCGATGATTCTACTTGAAAGCAGAGACCTTTCTCTTTCGCTCTTTCTTTCTTTCCTTCCCCTCACCTTTTGGCTATGGGAAGAATTTGACATTCATTACAGAGAGCTCCCAAGGGGACTGATGCTTGCGGGGCAACTTGAGACCTTCCCAGGCACAGATGACTCCTGGATAGGGAAGAGTTGGATGGCTGTGAGCATATCCAGCAGTTCACTGATGCCCAAGCTGTTTCTTTAGCCAAAAAGTCAGTATAAATCTCTTCTGTATGAAATTTCAAGAAAAGTCTTACCTAGTTCCCTTTTCCAGACTGTCTTTTAACTCCAGCCATAATCAGGACTCTGTGCTCCCATAGTGGAGCCCACATTCCTAACATTCTTTGGAAGTCTTAGTTCATAGCTCCGTTTACACATGGGAGGTTAGGTTTTTCTCCACCCAGAGTCCCTTTTCAGTTTATCCCCCGTGGCTTAGTCTGCTCTCAGATACCAGTTTTCTAGCAGATTGCGCACATATTTTGCCTGAGTAGGGAGAAGCAAGGGAGGGGCTAACGCTTAGTAAGGAGATGAGCGGTTGCAGTTCATTTTTTAAAAAGTATTCTGAGAAAAGGTGCAGGTCAGCCAGAGTCCACATGTAGATATTTGGAAGTGTTATTTAAACACTCAGCAGGCTGAGTACAGGAATACATATGTATAACACGTGTGTATACTTTGCTTTTGTTGAATAACAGTGTCTGCTAATTTGGGGTTCTTCTGTTGCTTGGCATCCATTATTTAGGTGATGCAATGCCATGAAATGTACTGTATTGTATATTACTTGGGAAGACACTAGATATTCAAAGAGGCCTGGCAGCACTTGGGCTGTAGAGGGCTCAACAAGGCCAAAGTCCTGAAGATTTTACCTCCTAGCTTTGGTTGTCTGTGCTCCCACGTGGTGAGGTGAGATTGTGGCAGGGGGAGGAAGAAGGATGGGATGAAAGAGTTACCCTTACTGTGTTCCATCCTTCTTACCAACTTAATTAGGGCAATTTACCCCAGCCTGAAAATGATTACCTGGCCATTTTTAATGTGCTTGAGGTCTGGTCGCTTCTGTTGCTTCAGAATTGAGTGACGGACCTTCCTGCAGAGCAATCAGAAGACGCGGTGGAGCCTGGGGCTCCAGAGTAGCTGCCTTAGTGCCTAGGGAGCCAGCAGCAAGGTCAGTCTGGGGGCGTTGCGGAATGCACGTCGGGGTGAGGTTTCCACAGGCATGCCCTAGTTCCCTGGATCCTCTGCAGAGAGTGGCTCATTGATTGAGCAAAAGCCTTTCACTTCTCTGGGAAGGAGGACTGTGCTGGTTCTTCCCAGACCAAAGAAGTCATTTGTGACTCCATCAGTTTCAAGGGGACAGAGCCTAGGCAGCAGCTTCTCCTAATTTTTAACACTAAAATTCAAGGAAAGAGTGAAGGGAGGGATATATTACTACCACGGATAGAAACAGGGGACTGGTAGAACTCTCAAGCAGTACCTGTCAGCTCTCCAACGCGTTTTTTTTTGCATTTTCACTTGAGCTGCCAAAGAGGTGTTGACAAAGCTTTTTCCTGATCAGCAAAGTGGTTTGGGGTAGCGGGGCTGCAAAGTGATAACTGCACTGAATGACACTTTATTTTTTGGCTTATTATTTAGCACTGAGAAGCCAAAAGGGATTGGTGATTATAACAGCACTTTGGGGAACAGACTCCCTCTGGCCTTGCTTTGGAGAGACGGCATGCGTGGTATTCCATCTGACTAATCAGGGAACCTCCTAAGTTCATACTGCATCAGAGTGGAATAAATGGCCCTCGAAGAGTCCATTGCCGAAAGAGTAGTTGCTTTCTTTGAGTTTTCAAAGCTTGATTTTTGGATTTGCTGGATCAAATAACCCACTTTTTCTTTAAAAGAAAAAAAAAGAGGGTTTATCCTTCTAAATGTGGGGGTGGGGTGGGTTAGGGCTAGTGTGATGTTTAAGTGGGTTAGGAGGGAGTCAACTTGAGAAACCTGTATGGCAAACTCCCTTGGGGGGTTTTAAGTACACTACTGTTCTGAAAAGGGTTTTATTTTTAACTTTATCTGCTTTGTTAACTAACATCCAGTCCACAGAGCTGACTGAAGAGACTGTGTGTGAACACCTGACACTGGGGGGACACCTTACTCAGAGGGTTGGAAAGGAAATTGGCCTGGACAGCTTGTTGTCTTTTATCTTTATGTAATGTTTTTGTTTGTTTCAAAGGACTAATGTTTATTATTACAGTGTTAAATAAAAAGTGTAATATACTAAGTGTGTAGAATAAAAGTGCAATAACAAGAGAAAATTACTTTGGCACAAACTTCAGTTCTTACACGCTCTCCCTCCTTGTGCTACCTGTCTCTTTCCATGATATTGTTACAGCGGGACAGTGTTAATTGTGTATATTTTTAAGAGATGCAACTATGGGTTAAGTCTTCATTTAGTGTAATTTTGAATGGCTGGGTTTGGTTTTATAGAGTATTGTGTCTCCTTCTGGGGTGCACAAACACCAGATGTGCTGTATAATAAAGATCACATTCACGTTTTAGGTTCATATCTGTTTGGCTTTTGTTTTCCCTTAACCTCACTGTGTCTACAGAATGCTCTCTATTCCATTCCATTTCCACTGGGACCCTAGAGGTCTTTTAGTTTGCCTTGGAGATCGATGGAACATGTTACTCTCCCCCATGGATTGCTCTCGGTCTCTGGGCACTTGACATAACCACTACCAGAGGGTAAGGCCCGGGAATGGGAGGCAGGAGAGCCAAGACGGGGGCAAAGTGGAGTGATAGCAATTTATTTTTCAGAGCCTCTCCCGGGTTCACACCCTTTCCGCCAGCCTCTTTTCAGCACGAACTTGCAACATTCTGAACTTGTGCACAAGCCTATGTACTCTTCATTACACTGTGAGAGAATCTGGGCGTGGAATCTATATATGGGCCTATCTGCATTTGGAATATGTGAATTTTCTTTTTAGCCTCAGCCTGCTCTTCAGATTTGCTTGCTCGGCAGTGCCTGATGGACACCATCATAGGCCTCTACCAGCAGAGCAGCACTATCTGTAGCCACCAGGGACTGTCAGTCAGCACGCAGCATGCCTTCTCCCAGAGGGTGTGCGTGTTTGTTTTGTTTTGGATTACCACATCATACTCATAGCTGCTTCACTTTTTGCTGTAACTGCTTGTGATCTGACTGCAACACAAGTTTGGCCAGGAGATGGCAGCACACCTTGAACAGTTGATGTGTTTGTGATTAAGTCTTAAAGAAAAAGCTAAGGTTGAATCTCTGGTTCTCAGCCTCCCCTACACAATAGTCATCTAATGTAGATAAGCCTGTTACACTTGTGAAACTCTCCACTAACTCCAGCCATCTTTCACAGCTAAATATATCCCATCTTTATGCATATACCGTATATTCTCCTACTATAAAGTTCAGAATGACTGAGTTCTCTTCCTCATCATTATTATTTTGGAGAAAATAGTTTGTGGTATATACATTTTTAGATTGCGTATGCTTTTCCAAGAACACAGTCCTCAGCGGCCTTGTTCTTTAAGCAGGGCAACTGGGGTGGCCTTCCTGGCCTTCCAAACCCCTGTTTGGGTGGGGCTCAGAGGGGAGAGGCCTAGTTTCTGAACATTATTAAATTCAACTTCAGAATTTCTGTCTTTAACAGGTCCCCAAGGAGTCCACAAAGTGCTAATTGAATAGCCTGCTTTCAAGTGTAGTTATCACAGGTGGCTATGTACTGGTTGAGACCTCTTAGGGCACTTCTAGGGATGGCCTGTTCCTTAGCATATTCTAAAGGTAGCATTTCAGATCAGTGGGAAAATCGACTATTTAACAAAACTGGCTATCCATCTGAGAAAAAATAGACTCAAATCATCATGCAAAAAAAGGTATACCAAAGATCTAAATGTGAAAAAAGGCTGTAAAGGAACTAGATAATAGCACACACATTATTTACCATATGCTCGGCACTATTCTAAATGCTTTACCTGTACTCACTAACTTAATCCTCACCACAACCCCATTTTACTGATGAGAAAACTAAGACATAGAGAGATTAAGGGTCATGCAACTGATACGTGCCAGAACTGGGATGTGAAACTAAGGAGTCCGGCACCAGAAACTCTGCTTCTACAGAGGACCACTGCACTGTGCTGCCTCTAGGAGAAAATGTATGTAACTATGTATACTTATAGTTGGGGGGCAGGAAGAACTTTTTTTTTTTTACATCTTTATTGGAGTATAATTGCTTTACAATGGTGTGTTAGTTTCTGCTTTATAACAAAGTGAATCAGTTATACATATACATATGTTCCCATATCTCTTCCCTCTTGCGTCTCCCTCCCTCCCACCCTCCCTGTCCCACCCCTCTAGGTGGTCACAAAGCACCGAGCTGATCTCCTTGTGCTATACGGCTGCTTCCCACTAGCTATCTATTTTACGTTTGGTAGTGTATATATGTCCATGCCACTCTCTCACTTTGTCACAGCTTACCCTTCCCCCTCCCCATATCTTCAAGTCGATTCTGTAGTAGGTCTGTGTCTTTATTCCTGTCTTAACCCTAGGTTCTTCATGACATTTTTTTTTTTTTTTTTTTGGTACACGGGCCTCTCACTGTTGTGGCCTCTCCCGTTGCGGAGCACAGGCTCCGGACGCGCAGGCTCAGCGGCCATGGCTCACGGGCCCAGCCGCTCCGCAGCATGTGGGATCTTCCCGGACCGGGGCACGAACCCACGTCCCTTGCATCGGCAGGCGGACTCTCAACCACTGCGCCACCACGGAAGCCCATGACATTTTTTTTTTCTTAAATTCCATATATATGTGTTAGAATACAGTATTTGTCTTTCTCTTTCTGACTTACTTCACTCTGTATGACAGACTCTAGGTCCATCCACCTCATTACAAATAGCTCAATTTCGTTTCTTTTTATGGCTGAGTAATATTCCATTGTATATATGTGCCACATCTTCTTTATCCATTCATCCGATGATGGGCACTTAGGTTGTTTCCATCTCCGGGCTATTGTAAATAGAGTTGCAATGAACATTTTGGTACATGACTCTTTTTGAATTATGGTTTTCTCAGGGTATATGCCCAGTAGTGGGATTGCTGGGTCATATGGTAGTTCTATTTGTAGTTTTTTAAGGAACCTCCATACTGTTCTCCATAGTGGCTGAACCAATTCACATTCCCACCAGCAGTGCAGGAGTGCTCCCTTTTCTCCACACCCTCTCCAGCATTTATTGTTTCTAGATTTTTTGATGATGGCCATTCTGACTGGTGTGAGATGATATCTCATTGTAGTTTTGATTTGCATTTCTCTAACGATTAATGATGTTGAGCATTCTTTCATGTGTTTGTTGGCAGTCTGTATACCTTCTTTGGAGAAATATCTATTTAGGTCTTCTGCCCATTTTTGGATTCGGTTGTTTGTTTTTTTGTTATTGAGCTGCTTGTAAATTTTGGAAATTAATCCTTTGTCAGTTGCTTCATTTACAAATATTTTCTCCCATTCTGAGGGTTGTCTTTTGGTCCTGTTTATGGTTTCCTTTGCTGTGCAAAAGCTTTGAAGTTTCATTAGGTCCCATTTGTTTATTGTTGTTTTTATTTCCATTTCTCTAGGAGGTGGGTCAAAAAGGAGCTTGCTGTGATTTATGTCATAGAGTGTTCTGCCTATGTTTTCCTCTAAGAGTTTGAAAGTTTCTGGCCTTACATTTAGGTTTTTAATCCATTTTGAACTTACTTTTGTATATGGTGTTAGGGAGTGATCTAATCTCGTACTTTTACATGTACCTGTCCAGTTTTCCCAGCACCACTTATTGAAGAGGCTGTCCTTTCTCCACTGTACATTCCTGCCTCCTTTATCAAAGCTAAGGTGACCATATGTGTATGGGTTTATCTCTGGGCTTTCTATCCTGTTCCATTGATCTTTCTGTTTTTGTGCCAGTACCATACTGTCTTGATTACTGTAGCTTTGTAGTATAGTCTGAAGTCAGGGAGCCTGATTCCTCCAGCTCCGTTTTTCGTTCTCAAGATTGCTTTGGCTATTCGGGGTCTTTTGTGTTTCCATACAAATTGTGAAATTTTTTGTTCTAGTTCTGTGAAAAATGCCAGTGGTAGTTTGATAGGGATTGCATTGAATCTGTAGATTGCTTTGGGCAGTATAGTCATTTTCACAATGTTGATTCTTCCAATCCAAGAACATGGTATATCTCTCCATCTATTTGTATCATCTTTGATTTCTTTCATCAGTGTCTTATAGTTTTCTGCATACAGGTCTTTTGTCTCCTTAGGTAGGTTTATTCCTAGATGTTTTATTCTTTTTGTTGCAATGGTAAATGGGAGTGTTTTCTTGATTTCATTTTCCAATTTTTCATCATTAGTGTATAGGAATGCCAGAGATTTCTGAGGAAGAACTTTCTTGAATATGATCAGGAACCCAGAAGCCATAAGGAAAAAAAGTGATAGAAATTATATAAAGAACATATATAAGAGCCAAAGACACGAAAACCAAAATTAAGACTAATCAGTAGTTTAGAGAGAACAATTGCAATATATAACTGATAAAAAGTTCATATTCCTAATAATATGAAGAAATCAATCAAAAAATCTAAAGGCAAACTGATTAATAAATATTTGAAAAAAGATGTTCATCTATACTAACAATCGGGGAAAACCAAGATGATATTTCATCTATCAAATTACTAAAAATAAATATGAAAAACCTATTCATAAGTGTGGAGGATGAGCACTACCTATGTTGTTGGGGAGTGGATACAGCTGCAAAAGGCAATTTGGCAGTAAATATTACAAAAAATGTTAATGTATATATCCTTTGCGCCAGAAATGACTTCCAGGGAGTCCCTACCTACAGAAATATTTGCACATGTGTGCAAAGCTATGTAAGTACAAGGGTGTTTATTGCATCATTATTTGTAATACTAAAAAGTTGGAGGCAGGGCTTCCCTGGTGGCACAGTGGTTGAGAGTCCGCCTGCCTATGCAGGGGACACGGGTTCATGCCCCGGTCCAGGAAGATCCCACATGCCGCGGAGTGGCTGGGCCCGTGAGCCATGGCCGCTGAGCCTGCGCATCCGGAGCCTGTGCTCCGCAACGGGAGAGGCCACAACTGTGAGAGGCCCGCGTACCGCAAAAAAAAAAAAAAAAAGGATATATTTAGTATGACCCCTTTTTTGGTAAAAATCCCTTCCATTCTTCCATAACACCAAATTATCTGGAGATCTAGTCCATCTCTTTATATACATGCATAGAAAAAAGTCTGTAAGAATATATATCAAAATGATAACAGTGGTTTTCCTAGGGAGAGAACTTCCAACTTTTAGTGTATTGATTTTCTGTTATTGTATTGTTCATCTGCTATGAACATCTATTTTTTTTTTTGTAATTTAAGAAAATGAATGAAATGGCTAATTTAGGAGAAAGGAAATATGTATTGGAAAGACATTAGGGGCTCACAAAATCAACAGGAAACTATAAGTTCAGGCTCATAGATAGAATCAGCGGGTTGGAACCAGAGCAACTCTTCTTC